GGGAAAACGGCCACGTAATAGGCACCCTTTTTGCCTGGCGCTGTGTTGCTATGTAATGCTAGCGGAAGTAACCGCTGTTACTATCGTAACGTCGCCGCTGTTGACTCGCGTTGCCTAGCGACCGCGATATCCCTCGGTGACGTCACCGCGGAGGGGAGTGGCGGGGCGGGAACTCGCCTGTTACCGTAAGAACGCGAGCGTTACGTTACCGCCACGTACCGCTGGGGAGGTGGGGGTCAACATGTCACAGTATGTTAGAAGTATAAAAGGTATTAACAAATATATGTAGGGTTAGGGATCTGTATGCCAACTAAAATATTTTATTACAAGGGAATATCCTGCTATAGCGTAGAATTGGGCGTGTATGTTGCATAGGCCTTGTTGCAGAAACTTTATGTAATAAGCCCAGTATATGAGGCCAAAAGACAAGTTTCCAATGATGTACAAGTTTGACGGTATGTGGGCATTTGGTATGGTATTCCCATGCTATGTATTCTATATATAAAACTTGGAATGTGGCGTATATTTCTTGTCTGAGCATATACATGTTCGGTGTGTTCTACACCATGTCAAACCAGCTTTTAATATACTTTCATATACTTCTAACATACCTTTAATATGTTTTAATAATATTTCAACATTTTATATATGTACCCCTTTATTCTATCTTTTATTTTTATTCTTAATTATGTATTTGTTATTTTAACTATACACTAAATCTGAAGCAAAGTTTTTATGTTAATATTTAATACGATGCATTGCACCAATAAGGATCCGTATCGGTATTTCAATAAGCATACATATTCCTGCCTGATGATGGTCATGTATGACCGAAATATGTCGCAGTATATAAAGATCTAAATGTAATACTGAAATATTTGTGGTGTTGATGGTAGCATAGTTTCTACATATTATATATTGTCTGAGACACGCAACATGATNGGGGGGGGGGTGGGGGAGTTTACCTTACTCACTTATTCACTCGATGAAGAAAAATTCCAGGAATTTTCATTTCTTAATATAATATGATGGATGGGTGGATGGACAAACTGTAGGTTATTCAATAGTGCTGAATCAACTGCAACATTTTTTATGCCAAATGGTACATAATATATTAATACTCTAAATAATCTAGAGGTAAGTAGAGGTAAGAAGAAAGGTAAACCTCACCGAACTGTATAATGCCTCGTTCCACCATGACAGTCCAATCTGCAGCTTTCATTTTCCCAAGTGGCTTGCCAAATGTAGGTAGCGCAGATCCAGCTGACATTACTGAACCAGCACCCATTGTCACATAATACATTCCTGCCGGCCATTAATTCATTTTTTCAGTAATGTTATGGCTATTAAAATTCACTCTAAAAATGGAACTACAAATTACATATATTTTCAATAATCACAAACATATGTTGGATTTGAGGTTCTCACAGAAATGATTATGAGAAGTACAATGTAGGTTGTAATGCTGTATAATTCAGAAAAAGCCCAATGCCTCCATCATAAAACTCAAAGGGTATGCCAACCAGGAAACCAGCAAGAAGCAGAACACCTCACTCTGCTTGCTGTCTGTCTTTTGCCAGTTTCCTGTTTGGCCCAATCTTTGACCATGAAGACAGAGGTGACATGTTCCTCTGAAACATCAGGAATTCCTGAACTAAGCAGTATTACAACCCAGAAGATCATAAAGGTAAGGTAAAACTGTCCCTGCGCTTAACTAGTTAAGCACTGTGCCATGAAGACATATGGGGAGTGGAGGTATAGCTCTGCGATTCTTGACCTCGGCACTAGATGGAGGTGAATGGCCAGCTTCATGACTCTCCCACTTTAACCCTGGGGAAAAAGCCCCTGGTACTGAATGGATAGGAGACTGAGTTGGCTCCAGAGTCAGTCTGGATGCTTTGGAGATGAGAAAAATCCTGCACTGCCAGGAACTGAACCCAGGTTGTCCAGCCTGTAGCCTGTTGCTTTACTGACTGAGATATCCTGACTCCTCCACCAGAAGATCATACTGTTCATAAACACTTGCATACCAGAAAGCTTCTCCAGTAATGAATCTCTGTTCCAATCTGACTCCAGAACTCTGGTGACGATAGAATCAAACTGAGACTGATCCTCTTCACAGACCAGCTTGTCACGAAACAGTCTCATAGCTTCATATACTAAGACCTGAAAAAATAACATGATACTATGAATATAATAGAGAATTTCTTTCTATATACAGATACACATTTATGTCACTTTGCTTTCAACTGAAAAAAGTAATCCTGAGTAGACCTACACATATAACAAATAAAAGACTAGACAAAAATTTAAATTTTACAGTTATTTTAAATATCTTTCCGTCTGATGATGGCAGAAGTATTCTGACTTTCTGACTTTGTTTATTTAACCTTTAAATGCCAGACTATTGAAACAGTGGTAGCTTGAGCTGGCCAGAGTTTATTTAAATGCCTGCTGTTGGTGTGTGTTTAAATGGCCTTTGTCGCTCTGGGTTTAAATGTCCGTTCCTGTCAGGGCACTTACATTGTACTTAAAATGCTGTATCTAATATAATTTTTATGACAAATGAATGGAATTAACTTTGTTTTTATCAGCAAAGAATATAGTGTCACATATTATAGCGTAAATTTGAAAATATGTAGACAAGGAGCTATTAACTACTTTCAATTTTTTTTCCGTAAATTTTGATGTGTACCACAAAAATTGTTTCCCACTTCTTCACATAGTATTCCTGCATTATAAAATCACTCCTGCTTGTAACACTTGAAATATTTTCACATTCTCTGGTGCTATAAAACAGCTGAAAGCAATAAAATCGTTTGGTTCTCTGCTGGGAAGTTTCAAGTATTTTTTACACCCTTCAGATATCCCAGTCTTTTGACTAAAGGACAGAAAAGTGAAAACATGGTCTTTCTAGAAAGGCTACAGTGTAAATTCATTGTTTCCTAATTCAGTGCCAAACCCTGCCATTGCAGCTGCAAAAGAATATCGCCATTTCTATGGATGCAACCAGACGCTTGTATCCCAGCTGAGATACAGAGTGCATTCAATTTTCTGTGAGTTCACAGTGAATTTGAATATTGTAGTTTCATTTTATCACATAATGGCAATGAAACATTGTTTGGAACATGATGAAATTACAAGGCAGTGCAAGATATGTGGTGCAGTGCAAGATATGTGGTGTGGGACTGTGTTTTCTCAGGTGCTTCAAGGAGTATTACACAAAGGCAAGATTCAGTTACAAGACATGGGGGTTGAAGCCTGTATATATGTCGAGCAGATAACANAAAAAAAAAAAAAAAAAAAGATTGAATTTTAATCTATTTAGAACTAGATGTATGGGATTGTGCATATGCTTCTACTAGTGGAGGGTGCGCACGCTTCTGTTAGTGGAGTGTAAATGCCTAGCCGCCCAAATTGGGGTACTCTGGCCATGACAACCATACTGACCATTGGACTGATCGGGGCACTTTGGACATTAAAGGTTAATTTATATTGATATAACCAAAACACTTCTGAAGATGGAGCTGGAAACATGAATCAGAGGAATGAAGAATGTGTATTTGTTGTATTGCTCATAAACATATGTTTTATTTATGTCTACCATACTGGTTCTTAGCAGAAGTGGAATCTTTCTCTGTATCAGCTCTGGCATCCATTCACTACCAATCCACTGGTGGCTGGAGGTGTTTCCTCTGAAGATAAAGGTATGAAGCTGACCATGCAATGCAGATTGAGGAAAAAAATTCATGATTTCTTATCACAATGCTTCAGATACACCCTTATGGCATAACGTGCATCTACCTTTCACCTTCTATTAGAAGCAGTTTCATAGTTTCATACAACTAGAAATTTATTAGCAGAAACTGATAAGTCAGTAGCAGTACCATATTATAACAAGAATAAGTTTATATAGTATCACTCTACAACATGTCACAAATTAAATGAATGGCACAGTATTTCCCTAAAGAGATCCAGCCATCATGTCTTCATGTCTATTTCAGTCTTTGACAGCCATTTGATTAAAAATGGCTTATCAGCCAAAGATAAGTCTATGGTAAAAATTTGTTCTCACTCAGACAAACAGCTTTTGCTCAACTATTCATTTCAACTGATATTTAATAAGAACATTTTAAAAATGCAATTCAGTCTTCAAGTGAAACCGATGTAGTGACATAAAGGTTGAGATCAAAATGAACACTAAGTTTCAATAGGAAACCCAATATAAAAATTAAAATCTGATTATAGAACACAGAGAAAGACAAACACAACTATGACATGAAGTGTTATTAGGCTTTATGCTTTGCTCAATAAAAAATGATCCCCAGTGGTAATCAAATTTACTGAAACCCAGACAACAGAGTAAACAGGTGCCTTTCATCTTGTATAAAATAATCTATTTCCAACTGGAGTTAAATTAACTAAAGTGTCAGAAACTTTATATAAAAGAGGGACAAAACTTTCTTGGAAAGAAAGAGAAAATACATATTACCAGTAATTTATCAAGAACTTATTAAAATATCTCTATCTAAATTCATATAAGTGGGTGAGCATGTACACTTACTTCAAGCACTAAATTGACAGACTGATCATCCTCTTTCAGGTCATAACGAAGAAATCCTAAACACCATCGAGTTAGGTCACGAGGTGTGAAAATATAATGATTCTGTTGCACTGGAGAGAACATGTTTTTAACCTGAAAAGATTAATTATTTTAATTATAGTGTACAGAATGACAGTACCAATTAAACGGTGTATTAAAGCCATGTAACAAATTAAACCTAAAGTAACTGGATACTCAATTAGTATATTTAGACATTGAAAACCAGCTAAAGGAATTTAAACATGTATACAATAACATTAAATTTAAGTATACAGACTTAGCAATAAAAATAAGAGACAGAGTTATTAAATATTCCAGTCAAACAACAACTTTACTGGAAATAATATTTTATCATGTCCTTAGTATCTCTTAGAAAAACGATTGGTTTAACCTCAGCCATTGAATGAAGCTATGTTCCATAACATTATTTAAACTTTCAGATACACAAGTGTGTGACTGATGCACCAATCCCATATAATAAGTTAAACCTCCATGTCAATGATATTCAATTACATACCTAGACAGAGAAGACTAGTTAATGAAACTGATTAGTCCTGGGCATATGAGAGACCCTGCATTCAGTATGATTACTTAGCTACTCAGTACATAAATACACTCTCCATTTGAATACAAATTACTCAATTTTAAAACACTCTTATAGGCAAAACGTGAACCACACATTCTGACCTGGACACTATAACATAAAAAACCTGTTAATACCTCTTCATAAATTTTGACCATGGATCCAGTAAGGTTGGCAGTTTTAGTTGAGGACTTCCAGATCTGATGCTTGGGCAGACATATACCCATAATGCTGGACATATAAATATTGTATATGGATTTTAGCTCATCTCGCTCTGGATAGCTACAACAAAACACACAATAATCAATGACAGGATTTATCTCTCTAACTAAAAAAATATTATGTGCCCCTCCTGTCCATAATATATAACAGTTCAGCAAGATGGCAGATAGTAAGACAAGCTGTACTAACAGTGCTACAGTTTTAGTTGACAATAGTGGGGAACCGAGTAAAATACTGTGTATTTGTTGTGCGGAATTGGAGTTGGAAAGGACTAGAATCGAGCTGAGAGCAACTCAACAGAGCAACAAGGCGGCTACCAAAGGGTGTAAGGGAAGTTACTCTGACTTAAATTTCAAACCGAAAGTGTTAAATTGGAAACAAACTGTCAATATTGCACTAACTTAAATAGAGAATTGCAAAAAGCAAAAGAAGAAATTTTAACTTATAAAAAAAAATAATAGAAATGCCTCAAGCTGAATTAGGAGAAAACTCGTTACTAAATAATCCGAGTGAGCTAGAACAAAACAACTATTATGAACAGGATAAAGCATCATTAATGGAAGAAGACTGGGAGTTAGTTGCAGGAAAAAAGAAAAGGAATTTGTTTGGACTAAATAGAAATCTAATACAAATAATACCAACTAATGTGAATAAAGTGGACTTAGCACATAACCTTAAAGATGATGAAGAACGGACTAATATGGGAATGAACGAATTAGGAAAAACAAATGTAAATAATTATACCTTGATAAAAGGAAAAAATAAATATGAAGAAATGCATAGTAAATATAAACATAAAGTAAGAATAATTGGCGGTAGCCAAGTAAAAAAAAAAGTGCAGCTGAACTTCGCGTAATTTTAGATCATAGATATGAGATTATGGGATTTACCAAACCAGGTGCATTAATGACAGATATCTTGAAAACGGCTACAGATGAATGTACCTCATTAAGTAATAAGGACATTTTGGTGCTGTGGGCAGGAGCTAATGACATTAGTAAAAACAATACTAAAGAAGCACTCAGGAGCCTAACTAAATTCTTAGAAGGACATAAGAGGATAAATATTATACTAATCCACACATTGCATAGACATGATCTCTCCACAACCTCCTGTGTAAATAAAGAAGTTCTGAAGTTCAATAGGCAAGTAAAGAAAATAATTAAATTAAACCCTAAGGTTAAATTAATGGAAGTTGAATTTCAAAGAAAACATTTTACTAGCCATGGACAGTATCTAGATTTAACTGGCAAAGAGTTTGTGGCCCTAGAACTGGCTAAGAAAATCGATCAGCTTCTAACTAAATTCGAAACAATTCCTATCCACATTCAATGGAAAGAGGATAACCTGTATGGAGAAAACTTACCAGCACAAATTGGAATCGAAGAACTTACGTTGAAAAGAACTGTAAAAAGCCTGTGAAGTTTAAAAAGTGACAAGGTGAAAAAATAGAGGATAATAATAATAATAAAAAAATCTCTGAGAGCTAGGAAAACCCCTGTAATGAAACCAGATGATTTTTTATGGTAAAACAACTTAAAAAGAGCAAAACCATAGCTATAAATAATGATGTCAAAATTTTTCATCAAAACATATGTGGACATAGGAATAAGTGTAATGAAATACTATGTCATCTAGAAGAGCTTACCTCTCAAATACTGTGTCCTACTGAACATCATCTTTGTGAGGATGAGATAGCTCACATTGACCTGAACAATTACGTTCTAGGCGCACACTATTGCAGAAAAAAATTTAAGAAGGGTGGAACTTGTATATATGTACAATTTACAAATTAATAACATTAATCTTGATAAATTTTGTTGTGAGAAGGATATGGAAGCATGTGCTATTACTGTTAATACTACAAATTTCAAAATATGAATTTTAGTTATATATAGATCCCCCTCTAGCAATTATGTAATTTTCTTGGAGAAACTTGAATTAATATTAAATAATTTGAGTATGTGGGAACATCCCACATTATCACGCATTTCTGCAACGCTCGCTCTTCACATCACTTTTCACCGTCACGCGCGCTAACCAATCTGATTGCTTCAAACGTTCATATTTATACTGGGATCGCTCCTGGCCCGCATCNTCTACACCATTACGCGCGCTAGCCAATCAATTCTTGCTCCTCACTTTCGAGTTTGGCTCCGCCCCACCGACCAGCGTATAAAAAGGAGTGACTCCAAAGCCGAGTTATTCAGTTCGATTCAGTTCAGTTCAGTTCAATTCAGTCCGACTGCAGTCTGCGATCAAGCCACACAGCAAGCAACTTCAGCCAGCAGGCTTCGTCGCCAGCGCTCGGTCTTCGGAGACATCGGCAGGCTGCGCCAGGCATGACTGCCTCGGCTCTCCAGCGCTCTCACACCCGACTCACTGGGACACCGCGCCTGGACTCGCCGGTGGTCGTGTTACGGTCCAACTCACTGGGCTTCTGGCGTAGCCACTGCCTCATGGCTCCTACGACCGCGCTCAACGACTAG